CGGGGTTGGAGGTCGTGCCGCATGTCGTTGAACTCAGCTCGTCGAGATCTTTCTATTGACACCGGCGGTGTCAAAAATGGAGGTCGGAATCTTAACTTGAGTATTTGGCCATTGATGGTTTGTGTGAGAGAGAATGTGAGAGGAGAGAGAGAATGAGCGAGAATAAGAGAAAGAAAGTGTAAGAACCCTAAAAATTTCACTATATAAAGTATCTGATTAAGGCAAGATTACGTGCCTGATCTTATCCTCAATTATTTCCTCTAAACAGATTAAATTTATACTGATTAGAGGTAATTAGTTTAGCTCACGTAAGTTAATCTACTACTTACAGTCCAATATTAATTTCTGAATAATTCAATATTGTTTTATATTCTTACTCGCGTAATATTTCAAATTGTTTCAAGTCTTAAAATTAATTTTAGACTGAACAAATTCTAAATTTTAATTTTCTGTATTCTATCCCGAGAATGACGTTTCTGACAGTGTCAACTCCCGAGCTCATATTGTACCCATCTACTATAGGTATTTATCTTGCGACTTTAACCTAACTGTCTAGCAATTAAGGATTTTTTTCTTCTTTTAAAATGCCAGTGCGTTTTTTTTTTATACGCCGCTAACATCGTGCCGTGCTTAGAGATTCTTGAAATTAAGATTCTCAAACTATACTTGTACTGAAAATTATTCCGCCTTAAAATACGGCGAGAATTTATCGATCGAATTTACTTGATCGAAACATGAACTTAACATGAAATTTGCTATAGAATTTAGGAATACATATATTAATTCCATAAATCCTCCATTCACAATATAACATAATATTTTCTAAGAAAATCCTTGGCTTAAAAATACATGAATTGTATTATTTAAGGTCTGGAATTTTCTCAGTCATTACAGTAATACAGACCAGAAGATAAACCATAATCACTATGGAGTTACAAAATATTTTCTTTTTGTACATTATTATCCTACATGCCGTTTTATATTTCACAAAACAAAAAATGCCTTAATCCACATTGTTTAATTGTATGATTTTTATTTATGATACACATCCAATTTCTCTCACATGGTTGGTCACACGTGCACTAAAACTAACATTCAGTCACTCATCGCCATTTGGTACATATCTTCTCTTGATCCCAACTTCTAAGTCTTACTATTTGTAAAGAAGTCTTATTAGTTTTTAATCTCGTTAATTTTACTAATTTGAATTTATAAATTAAAAGGACTATAATTATTTGTGTGTAAAATGATCAATGTCCATATCTATAGGAAAAATTATATGTCATATGATTTGCAATATATTGTTATAAAAGTCTCAGGATTTGCATTTCATTATATATGTTTGTCTGCAAGCACTAATTGAACTTTTTTGACATAATCCTGCGAAAATTTGATCGTGTCAAACAAGCACTGGTTAATGGTAGCAAAGTCGCATATTCAATAGTACTGAACATAGGGAAAGAATAAAGAATTTCAACGGCCGCCTTAAAAAAAAAAAGTAAATTAAAAATTGTGGGTAAAAGAAGTATCATCTAACTGGCATACATTACTTACAAATGCCTGTTCCGTGTCCGGATTGACAAACTTCTACCCATGACGGTGTATGTCACCATAATTGTCAATTAATAATCTTAGCTCATGAGTCTCGGGATTTTCCTAATCAAGTTGATCGTGTTACAATAATTATTAAGCCAAAGTGAAAAAAAAAACTTAACAAGTATGCAAATTAATATTACCATATTGAAATGATATTGGGAGTATGACTTTCTGCCATGGAAGCTAGACCACTTTTGACTGCCACAGTTTTGTTGATTTGTAGCAGATTTTTTATTGTTGCACTCATAATGTTATAATTAATTTTTAATTTTCTTTCTATTAATATAATTAATTCTTATTAATTAAATTCTTAAAATTAATAGATTTTAATAAAATTTCGGCATCATAATGACATATTTTTCTTATTATCTAAAAATTCAAACCTGAGAAAAACAGCTTTTAAAAGATTTTGGCACTGCAAGATGTGCCATCCAAAACAATTATCAAATTATAATCTTAAAATTTCAACAATCTCAATATCAAATTTCAACAATCTCAAAATTCATAATCTAAAATTCAGTCTATAATCCAAATTTCAAATTATATACTAATTCTAAAATCTGTAAATCAAACTTCAAGATTTATAATCCATAATTATACACAATTCAAATAACAAAAAACTCACACATTTTAAACTAAAAAATACAATAATTACATAAATACTTACAAATTTCAAACCCACTGAAACGGGGGCTGAAAACGGTAAGATAAACAGCGGCAAAGGGCGGCGGCGGTGGCGGCGGACTTTGATGGCATGGAACCTCACCTACAGCATGGAACCTGTTTTTGTTTTTTTTTTAAAAAAGATGTCATATGATTGTGAATTGTTTGATGTTGTTGAATGATTGTTGCTTGATGTGCTATTGTATCTATCAATGCATTATTTGAGATGTCATGATAATAATTTATTGATGTATTATTGCCTCTACAAGTTAAATATTAAGTTTTGACTATGAACCATGACCATAATTGCATTCTCACCTAATGAGAGGCTATGGTAAAGAAAAGATAATTTAAGTGTCGTATCATCCCTCACTAGGTAGGGAAATGATGAACGATCTATATGATGACCTTGGGTTTTATCGGTATAAAATATTTGGGTCGCTCCCCTGACACCTTATTGGCCGCGCGCATTCGGTACATACATAGGGCCCATAAAATGTAGTTAATAATCAGACTATTCATAATCGGTCATGCATAGCATTTGTCATTTAACTATTTGAGAGATTAAGTTCATACTTGCTGAGCGAAGGCTCACCCATGTTGTTCATGTTGTAGGTAATTCGGGCAAGAAGCCCGCCACTTAAACCCTCATGATGGGTTGGCAGGGTGGAGCATGAGCGATGGAGTCAACAAGGGGATTATGGATACCAACAACAATTAATTCCACATTTAAGTTCTATACTATTTTAAACTTTATACGACTGATACTGTAGTACGCTTGGCTTCCATGATTTAAATACTTACATCTATAGGACAAGTCTTCCTATGCTAAACACTTAGACATGTGGTTATAATATTTCATTTTCAATTGCACATTTTACTAGTAGGACATAATATGCTTTCGTTATTTCTTAGAGTGACAACCAATCCATGTTATTATCATCATTACGTATTTCATGATCATCTGCATTAAGGCTTGGTGTATCTTTTAAAATTGATTAAATACTTATGATCTTGAATCTTAAGTATATACCAAAACATTACGTTCTCCAGCATGAAGTGTACGATTGAGCCTTTAGATAAAATTTTTTAATATAGTTCTCGCTAAAATTGTTTTGAAACTTTACATATGTGTATCTATTATTTTTATTTAACTCTTGTGGCTCGTCAGAAATAAGTTACATTCCTCGTTGATGCCTGGAGATTCGCCGCCATGTTGTCGAAGCTAGGAAGTCGATTAGAGATCTATCTCTTTCTCTCTCATCCTCCTCCAATTTTTCTCTCTCTGCTCAGGGAGTGACAAAAGTGGCGACAAAGATCCCGGCGGCAACGACGATCATCGAAATTGCGTGGTTTGGCTATTGTCAAAAATTGGAGTCCCAACGCTGCCATCTCCGAGTTCCGTGATCCGAGATCGCGACGGACATAATGACAAGGAGTCCACCGCTACTATCTCTCTACTCACGCATTGAAGGTTAAAGCTTGTAGTGTGGCTCGTCATCGTCACGAATCGAAGGTCGAAGCTCATTGTCGCACAGTGACGATGAAGAGAATAAGACTTGGCAAAAGAAGATTTATTAGGTTCTTTATTGTTAGTGCATTATTGCTAATTTGGAAAGGAATAAAACCATACATACAATTTTCAATTCGCTGGCCAACATGACTAAAATTGGACCTGCCCTCGTTGGGAACAGTCCTAATGACGTCTGAAGTACAAAAAACAACCTTATTGGCGTCGGAACTCTGGGGCCTTACTCCATTTAAATTGAAATCTTCCGCAGCCACACCGGAATCAGCCGCAACCGCCACAAAAATATGAAAGTTGGTCCAAATGGCAGCCAAATCATCGCACATCATCGTTGTCACTTCCGGCCCCTCACCTAGGCCGAGAACAACCCCTGAGATGCCCCTATCCACACCGATAGACCAAGACCTAGCCTTGAACTCATAGAAATCGTGACGCCCAGCCCCAATTGTGCAGAAATGACCAGAGCTAGTCCAGATCTTGCTCGATTAGGCTTTAATCCTGTTGGAATTTTAAAGTCCAGCTCCCTAATCGCCAAACTTGGACTCAATCGCAGTAATATCGCTGAGTCCAGCCTGCGATGCACCGGAAGCTGCACCAACATTCCTAGATCTAGCCCCATTCTCGCTGAAGTGTCGAACCCCAACCACGATTTCATCGGCGTTCTCAATTTCTGCTACCAAATCGCCACTGTTTGTTTCATATCTGAGTGATTTCACACCAGATCGTGAAAAATCAGTCGGATCGGCGTCAACTTCACGGAATTCAAGAACTCTTCATGTTTCCTCTTGTGAAGACCAAAACTATCAAGGAAAAGCGTCTTAAGCTTAGTTCAGCACCAGTTCGGCTGTCGTCCGTCCTCCCACGGTAACCAAGCTAGTGCTTCTCCACCAAAATTTTCCACTGACGCCTCTAATTTCTCTTAATCCGCCATCCAATTCATGGCAAAACACTGCTTTGCTCGAAACAACCATCCATCAGTGTTAGTTCCATCGAATATTGGCAACTCCAACCGATGACCTCGAACCTCCAATAGCAGTTGGATGGGATAAAAACTTCTGATCCAATCCCAACTCATCCCCAACTACCTCGCTTCGTCTCGGTGTTCTTCACATATTGTTTTTTTTTAGCAATGATGCCAAGGTCGATGCTCTGATACCACTTGATAAGAACAAAGATATAGAAGAAATTGAACTGATTTTCGTATTGAAGAAGTAAAACAAAAATAATAAAATGCAAGATAGTTTCAAAGCTTTCAAGAGGCTTTGATCTCTCCCTAGAGACTAAGTCACACTTCAGTTCCCTAATTCCCTCCTCACTTACTATTCTAACACTCTTTTATACTAATTCTCACATCACAGAAATCCCACTAACTAATTACTAGCATAACTAGCATAATCCTATCAAATATACATTTTCTGTATGGTTCCAATTTCATCAGACGTCCCTGAAGGAATCATTTTCCACTTTAGATATAACTAGGCCAATAATATTGAGTAAAACAACACGTCAAACAAAGGAAAAATTAACACGGCATGGCTAATTACAAATGGGGGATTGTTTTATGTACACATAAAACTGCTGTTCATGTATGTGCACCGACACTTGGAGTGCTAATACAAAAATTAAAGAAAGATACTGAATATTTTTTTTAGTTATTTTATTGCAAGTGACCTTTTTTAAATTGTTTTTACTCTCTTCCGTCATCATCTTGTATTTAGCATCGCCTCCATTAAAAAGTGATTATCTTGTAGGTATCAAATTTGCAGAGAATCATAACATAATTAAATGCAAATGTTTATTATAAGCCAGCTAATATGTCCAAACTTGGCATTGTTTGGTAAAAGTCAATGAAGTTGAGACATCTATAGATATATAACAAAGGAATTATATTAACAGCCTGAAGAAAGAAAGAATTGCAGCCCATTTACTCTTTTAGTCCAATCATTCTCTTCAGTTCTTAATGGATCTCCAACTCCCCTCCTTTTCAATACTTCTCAGCTCATTCCTCTTTGTGTTTATGGTGTTAAACATATTGAAAAGATCATCAAAAACTATAAACTCTTCTTCAAAATACCCCCCGGGACCATGGAAGTTGCCCATCATAGGAAATTTGCACCAGCTTCTAAGCTCTTTGCCCCATCATGCACTAAGAGACTTGGCCAAGAAGTATGGACCCTTGATGTACATACGAATTGGACAGGTTCCAACATTAGTGGTTTCATCGCCGGAGTCTGCGAAAGAGGTGATGAGAAATCATGACGCCAGCTTTGCTTCTAGGCCAGTCTTTCTTTTTACAGAGATCATGTTCTATAATTCAAGAGACATTCTGTTTTCTCCATATGACGAATATTGGAGACAACTGCGAAAAATATGCACGCAGGAGCTCTTGAGTGCGGCGAGAGTTCAATCTTTTAGATCCATTAGAGCAGAAGAGATGCTTAATCTCATGGAATGGATTGCTTCAAATGTTGGCTCCTCTGTCAATCTCACTCAAAGAATCTACTCCTCAACTTATACCATCACTGCACGAGCAGCTTTTGGTAAGAAAAGCGAAGATCAAGAGGAGTTCATATCAATCATGGTGGAAGCTATAAAGTTATCATCAGGTTTCGATCTCGCAGATGTGTTTCCTTCTTTTGGTTTTCTTGATCCTCTTATCTTCGGCACAAGGGCTAAACTCGAGAAGCTGCACGAAAAGTCTGACAGGATAGTTGAGAACATCATCAAGGAACATAACAAGAGGAAGTCAGCAGAAAAAAGTGGTGAAAGTGAAACAGTCACAGAAGATCTGGTAGATGTTCTTCTAAAGTTTCATGACAACGACCTTGGGTTTTCTCTTACAACTGACAATCTTAAAGCAATAATCATGGTAAGGATTCCAATCAATACATTGTTAATTATATATATTCATATACTATTATGCAAGACATTTATATTTGCGCATATAATAAACATGGACAAGGTTTTTAGATTGACTTGCCTTCCGAAAATTTTGAAATCAAACTAAAATGTTTGATATTTTCGTAAACTCCATCTTAAACAATTTGGAGCTCTTGTCAATTCGGCTCTAGCTACAAATATTAACATAAATGTACATGTCTATAGATTCAAGTTGCTTTGCTTCCAAAACTTATAATTCAAGGTATAGATGGGCAATTGTTCTAAAAAATGGGATTGATCGGCTACGGCCAAAAATGTTTATAGTTTTCCTTTTTCTTTTTTTTTTTTTTTTTTTTTTTTTTTTTTTTTTTGGAAACTGTTTACTTTTTTTTTTTTTTTTTTTTTTGGTGAGAACTGTACGCAAATGTTAAGTACATACCCCAAAGTTTAGTTAGATAACACCACTCACTTTTTAACTTTCAGGACATCTTTACTGCTGGGACTGAGACATCTGCTACCGTTTTGGACTGGGCAATGGCAGAATTGATAAAGAATCCAAGAGTCATGAAGAAAGCACAAAATGAGGTGAGAGAAGTATTTCATAGAAAAGGGTCGGTGGATGAAACATGCATTAGTGAGATGACATATTTGAAATCTGTTGTCAAAGAGACACTAAGAATGCATCCTTCTGCTGCCCTTATTCCAAGAGAATGTAGAGAAAAGTGTGAGATTAATAGTTTTGAGATACCCGCGAAAACTAGGGTCATCATTAATGCATGGGCAATTGGAAGAGATCCTAGGTATTGGGATGAGCCCGATAGTTTCATTCCGGAACGGTTTCTTGATAGTCCTATTGACTACAAAGGAACAAACTTTGAGTACATCCCATTTGGGGCCGGGAGAAGAATATGCCCCGGTATGTCGTTCGGTGTGATAAATATCGAGCTTCCTCTTGCAATGTTGCTCTATCATTTTGATTGGAAGCTCCCCAATGGAAGGAAACATGAGGACCTAGACATGACCGAGTCTTTTGGCGGAACGATTCGTAGAAAAGACGATTTGCACTTGGTTCCAATTGCTTATGACCTGTCACCTATTGAAAAAAAAATCTGCGAAGAAAATGAAGTAGCTTGTCCCTGATAGTAATGCAGCTGTTTGTTTACATTAGTAAAATAAACCACTATGGATTAAGATATATTTATTTGTTGTGCTCTATAAAACAGCATGTAATATGTCCCCAAAGAAGAAAAAAATCTCCATTTGTTTCCTGGAAATTGACAAAAACAAAACAGTATTGAGCAATATTTCTCTTGAAAATAAACTTTTAATTTGAACAAACTTTTATGTGTAAGCTTTCCGTTCCCACATTCCTCAAAGAGGTCCGCAAAATGCAATTTCTTTTAGTTTATCCCTTCAAACATACCGTTATTCATATTATTCTCGTTTTTCTATTTCCAAATATTTTTTATTTCTACTTTTATCGTTCTTTTTTTTTTCTGTTTTGTTATTGTTTTTACGAGAATCGCAATGTATGTGTGTGTATTGAACACGAGTTCCATGCACATTTTTCTTTCTACAGTTTACTGATTTGATTAGTGTTGTTTTATATGCATTAGTTTTATAACTTGATGTCGTCTTTTGGTTTATTGCCCATTTATGTCGTCTAATATATTTTTAATTTCTCCATGTTAAGTGAGGCAAGACCATTTTTATGTCACGTCGCCATTTTCATACTGAAGTCGTTGATTGATTTTTTGTGTTATTTTAGACACTATTGTCATTTTCATGGTATTGTGGTTTTTCAACTATGGCCACATCCTTTCGTGCTTCTTTGGTCGGACTTTAGTCAGAGCGCACAAATAAGAACAACGAAATAAAAAAGAAAACAATGTTATAGAGCACCGGTAGCGGTGAATATCGCCTACTAATAGAAGGTACATCCCATAATATAGAGTCCATCTTATATTATTGATTGTGCTTAGCAGCCATAGTATCCAAATTGTTTTTCAAAACGAAGAATATAACATCATTCATTAATTATAGATCTATGTTTGCCCAAAAAAAAAAAAAAACGTCCAGAGTATGGGAATAAAAGCATCCATAGGCACGGCATCCACATACACTGAGGTACTTTATTATGCAAGAAAAAAAAAAATCTTGAAACAGTCCATTTAAAGGTGTGGTCCAACATTTAAAACAGGGGAAAACAGGGGATGAAGAACAAAGAAATAGAACAGGGCAGGGACAGAGACAGGGGAAGATAAAAAAAGGACACTCGAAAGAGTCCATTTTAATTTGTCCCTACAATATGAATCTTTTAAGTCTGCAAACACTACAAAAAACTTGACATTTAGCGACTCTTATGAATGACAGTTTATGGAGAAACCGCCGTCTAAAGTGCACTTAAAACGCGTCATCCAAGCTGTCAAGTTTAGACAACGATTTCTATAAAAACCGTCATCTAGTGTTCTCATATATAACGACGATTTATATGGAATCGTCGTCTAAATTTGTTTTTAAACCCTTTTGAACTTTCATTTTGCAAAAATTCACTCGAAAATCAAAATGCCGGCCCATTATGCAAATCCCTCTGCCCAAGTTGCGCCACCAGCCCAAATACTGCCATTCTTCCTTCCGTTCGCCGCTGTTTGCCGTCAACTGCTACCATCTTGTCCACAAATCCGTGAAAAACCTCAAGTAAATTTCATTAATCTTCTCTTTTTTGTATAAATTTGAGTAACATGGATGTTGAGTTTATGTTTTTTGGTAAAATTTATTAGGTTGATGATGAAATTAGCTTAAGTTTTGTGGTTTTGAGTATTACGGATGTTGGGTTTTTATTTTTTGTCTTGAATTTGTTAGGTAGATGATGAAATTTGTTTAGGTTTTGTGGTTTTGAGTTTTATGGATGTTGAGTTTTTGTTGTTTGTCTTGAATTTGTTTGGTAGAGATGAAATTTGTTTAGGTTTTGTAGTCTTGAGTAATGTGAATACTGGTTTCTTATTGTTTGGTAGATGATGAAATTTGTTTAAGTTTTATGTTTTGAGTAATATGGTTTTGAGTATTATAGATGTTAGGTGTTTGGTGTATGATAAAATTTATTGATGTTGATGATGAAATTAGTTTCGATTTTGAAATATGGAGTAATATGGGTGTTGGGTTTTATTGTTTGTCTAAATTGACTATAGTGTATGTGTTTATGTAAGTGAGGGATACCTTTCCTTGACCTATTGTACAACCTTCTAGTTTCATTTGAAGCTAGGTTTTTTTTTTCTCTTTTTGAGTTGTTCTTTTTTTTTTTTTTTCTTGCTTTGCCTCAGTTGGGGTTGCATTTTATATCTTGTATCTACTTTTTTATTTTTATTTTTATTTTAAAATAATATTAGAATGCAAGATTTGCTAAATGATGGGGCATCTAATATTGTGTGCCAACTTACTTGAGATGTCTTAGGGGTTGTTCTTTTACATTTTTGAGTTAGGCACTCTTGAGTGAAGATCTTGAGTTGAGTTTGAGTTATAACTTAAGTTGAAGTTGTAACTTGAGTTTGTGTTTGGTTGTGTACATTTGAGTTATAGTTTGAAATAAGAATCTTTTTGAGTTTGTGTTTGAGTGAGTCAAAACTTAAATTTGTATTTATATAGTATTTTAATAAAAACTCAATGGTGATGGAAAATTTTAATAGGGTATATGGGTGGGGTTTTATTCATCTTTTCGTTGTCAACGTATAGAAAAAAAATCATCTCAATCAGAATTAAAACGAAAAAGTGATAACATTTTTAAGAATAGAAAAAATATGGTTGATTAATTTAAGTTCGAGTCTCTGAACTCGAGTTGAAGGAGAAACTTAAACTCGAGTTTTAGTCTCAAACTCGAGTTCAAACTTAAAGAACATAAACTTAAATAAAATTGTAACTCAAATGACCTTTTTTTGAGTTTTTATGGCTGCGGAACAACCCCTTAGTTATTCAAGATACCAATTATATCCTCTCTCGTCATTAAAAATAAATAAAAAACACTTTGTCAAAATTTTGTTACTTTTTGAATGGAAAGTGGTCATCTAACCTGTAGTGACCAAGAAAAATCCCATAATTTTAATAATATAATTCATGTATTCAAGTCAAGGATTTTCCTGGAAAATCATTATACTATGTACATTTTGTGATTGAAGGATTTAAGGAATTAACATCTGCATTCCTAAATTCTGTAGCAGATTTCACGTTAAGTTCACAATTTTTCGATCAAGTAAATTCGATCGATAAATTCTCACCGTACTTTAAAACGGAAGAATTTCTAGTACAGATACAGCTTGAGAACATTAATTTTAAGAATTTCCAAGCACAATACAAACTAGCATCCAGTACCCGCATACAGGAGAAAATAGCTGTCAGTATAATTTTGGACAGTTTAATGAGTAAATTTAGAAAGTAGACAAAGGTACAAGGGTTAGGTTTCATTTTTCTCTTTCCTTCCT